CTAGGTTGGTTCCATAGGCTAGCTATTGTGAATTAAGCTGCTATAAACATTGATATGGCTCCATTTCTATAGCATGATGATTTTAAGTCCTTTGGTATAAACCAAGGAGTAGAATAGCTGGGTCAAATGGTGGTTCCACTCCCAGTTTTCTGAGGAATCTCCATACTGCCTTCCATATTGGTTGTACCAATTTCCAGTCCCACCAGCAATGTATGAGTGTACCTTTCCCCCCACATCCTCGCCAACATTTATTGTTGCCTATATTCTTGATGATTGCCATTCTGACAGGAGTGAGATGAACTCTTAGAGTAGTTTTGATTTGCATTTCTGTCTTTGCTAGAGATGTTGAACACTTTTTCGTATACTTGTTGATCAATTGTATTTCTTTTTCTGTGAAGTATCTGTTCAGTTCCTTGGCCCGTTTATTGATTGAATGTATCTTACCATTTACTTATTCTTTATCCAACATTTTCTCAGGTGTTATTTATCCCGTCTATTGAGTTTTAAAATTTAATCATTGTATTTTTTTCTTTTATCAAAATTCTACTTGGTCTTTAAAAGACCTACTGTAGTATTCCTTTGTAATGCTAGTCTTCTGTTCTTACTTTCAAGCTTCTCTATACTTTCTTGAATATCACAAATAGCTATGTGCATTGTAATTATAGTATTATGACTAGATCTGTCCTGTGTATTCTCATGATGACCTGAAATCTTTTCGTTTTGAGTTTTCTTACTCTGGGCTTTCAATTTCCTCTAGGACTCTCTTTTGGGGGAATATCTGGGTGTCTGGATTGAAGCTGCATTCCTCTAAGAGGACTTTCGCCAATTGCCCGAGAGCTCTTACCTCAGGGCCACTCAAAATTAGTTTCCCACTTAAGGATTTTGGAAGATTATCTCAGAAGCGTGAATGGGACACAGAAGCCCTGTGACAGTTGGCTCATCGGTACGGTGTCTGTCCACATAGCATTAGGACAGGAGGGGGACGAGTTCCCCTGAGGTTTCCTGCTGAAGGGCAGCCTCGTGTCTTACTTCCTCTTAAGCAGGTGGTGTAGTCCTAGGGTCTGAGATTTATCTGAAGTCTTCTGCTGTATTCTCCATCGGTTCTGTTTTGAATGGGCCTGATACCTTGTCCCTTCACACACACACACTCACTGTGTGTCACCAAGATGCCACCGTGGAGCTCCTGGTCAGCAAGTCCCTTCCCACAGAGCCCAGCCTGGTCCAGCCTGGCCATACTCCTCCCTTGTACCTTGTTCCCTTCATTTTGGGGAACCTGGCTTTCATTAATTCTTCTCTCTTTCAAGGCAGGGATATGTGTGAAAGGTTTTTTGGGGGGTTTCATATTTCATCCAGAATTTAATTATTTCAAAAAAGGTGTCTAGTCTGCCACACTGCTGCAAATAGAAGCCCTGGGTTTGGGAATTTTGTGATATTTCTGTGTTGCAAAGTGGGACTAACTTGGACTTAGAAATAGAATCCAGCATTTACACTCAGTATTTCTAGATAACCATCTCCTCAGCTTTACAGATATAACACCTTGCATTTGTATGTTGAATTTCTGTTTCCAAATCACTTTCACAAATGTCGAGTCTTTTGAGCGCTGGCTGACATGGATCTTGTTATCCCCATTCAGAGACTAGACAGGATTGATGCCGGAGACCTCACTGTGATTTAGAACCCAAGTCTTCAGGCACCTTCGAGAGTTCTTTTCTTGTGACAGTGCTGACTTGGATTAAATGATTTAAGAGAAGCCAGCAAGTGGACTTCAATTTGCTGCCCAGAGCAGGTCATTGCTGTGATAACTATCTTAAGAGAGATTCTGAGCCTGAAGCTGGCTTTCTGAATAAAGTCTCTTGATCAATTAGTAGTGTCTGTGAAGGTCACAGAGATGAAACTTAAAATACTTGCTTTCCCAAATGGTCCCCCAGACTTCACACACACAGAAACACACACACACACACACACACACACACACAAACACACACACACACACACACACACACACAAACACACACACACACGTGCGTCTCATATAAACATAAATCTATTGAATGTGGATGGTGTAGGCAATAGATGGAGACATCCTTTTTATATGTCAAATAATTGAGGCGCCTTGTCTGTTTATGGTCAGTTTCCTGGGGTGTGCAAGAGGAGCATAGATGATCTTTAGTCCTGGGAAGGTTGTTTTCAGAAAAAAACAAAATGGGGAAGTTTGGGGTGCTGCCTCATCAACTAGATAGTCCCCTGGGGCTCCTGAGACTGGATTGTCCTGCAGTTTTCTTCAGTAACCAAAGCAGAGGCCTAGCCTAGCTCAGGACAGTAGCTGCAAGTCCAGTTGCTCCCCCCTTTTCCAGTACACAATACTTAGAGAAGGTTGGATTGGGCTGTACAGTTGGCACCTGTCTTGGACTGTGCCTGTCAGTCAAACACCCCAAGGACAGCAGATCTCCTTAAGTCTCTTTCCTGTGCAGACTGAGAGCACCAGCCATGGCTGCCAGGGGTGGGTCTAAGAGTTGTATTTCCCTAACAAATCATACAGAGCAGGTGCTAGAGCATCTCATAAAAGACGGGAGGAGTGGAGGCCACTTCTTTAGAAGACAGCAGGCAGTGCCAATCATTCGGACCCAGGGGCTTCTCCAGGAGAGACTGATCCGATGAGCGCTTTGGGCAAGTCAATGGCTACCGACTTTTTGGTGCTTTCTCAAACAGGAACATTATTATTCAGATCTCACCACCTCACTTATGTTATGCTGAAGCCTTTGGAGATACAATGAGTTGTTTTTTATTAAAATAGTGTCATCATACTCCTTCCCAGGCTCTGACCAATTCCTCTCAAGGCATTAGGGAAAAGGTATTTCTTTCTTTTGAGGGGTTATTCTTTTTTTCTTTTTTCACTTTTATAAATGCATTTGATTATAAATTCAGTATTACAGAACACCAATCAAAACAAAAAGCTTGAGTGACAGTATTAAATAAAAAAAATCAACTGTATGTAATCTACAGGTGACTCTAAATCGAAGCACACAGGTGGACTGAAAGCAAAAGGGTATAGGAATGTCACCTACAGAAGTCTTTCTTACATTTATGTTTCAGATCGTCGCCGCTCATCATCCATGCTGGGAAAGGGAAAAGTGATCCCCAGCATTTCGACCTCCTGTAGATTAGGCTGTCAGATGGGCAAAACCACTCCCCGTCCTCAGGACTCTTTATAGCTCTTGCCAGGAACATTTGAGTCCTGATAAGCATTTTCCATCAAACAGTGTGATGTGGAAGGGGGAAGCCATGGTGGCTTCTGTTGTTTATAAGCGTTGCAGGAAAGCTGACTCTAGTATCCAGTGGCTTTACCAATGTTCACTGTGTGGCCAGCCTCCAGGGACATGATGTAGTGACCCCTTGTGGTTCAGACTCTCATTTTGCAGAGAAAACTAAAACCCAGAGAAGAAAAGAAACTTGTCCAAAATCATATATTCTATGAAGGACAGAGCTTAGATAGGAACCCAAGTCTTCATCTCCACCACCACACTCCTTATAGGGTATAGACAACTAGGTTGCTACCCGCAACCTTGGCTTTGGATGGTCCTGGGGAGCTTCATTTGCATCCTGTGCAAAACATTCTCTAACATCAAGATTCACTCAGTTCCCTAGTGTTGTTCTTCTCCTTCTTGGAGAAGGGGATACTAATTCTCTGAGTATAAGAGATGGAAAATGCACATAGATTGCATCATCAGAGCACAATTCTGTCTTTGGTGCCCCAAATGATACATTTGTTTGGGAAATTTATTATAATTAGCAAAAATGAAAAGTGGTAAAAGCAAGGTCTGTCTCCCTGATTCTTATCTTATTTGTTTTTTAAAGATTTTTCTTTTTCGATGCCAATTTTCTTATTTCTCGTGATCATTAGGGTAAAGATTTTCTACTTGATTTAAAAGTCAACAGGAGGAAGGGAAAAAAAAACACATCATTACACCTAAGCTGAACCAATATACAGACCTCTCTTTGCAAGAGGAGAATTGCAAATCTGTGATAATTCATCTGCATGATTGTACGAAAGAATTGGTGATTGCTTCTCAGTGTCACCAGGGAGGCAGGTAACCCTGGTCACGGGATGCTCTGGCCATCACCCCCTGGAACAGCTCTATTGGTTGTGATACTCTGCTTGTCTGGTCTCATTGGCAATAGCAAGTGAGCATCTTCAATGCCAGGAACAGGGAGGGAAGCCATCCCCTTTCCCTTTCTCCCTGCTTGAGACCAACTTTGCTTTTCCCAGCAGATCCACATATAAATATTTATAATCAGCTCCCACAGCCAGGAAAACCTTCCACAAGCTCTGAAAGCAAGGGGCGTGTCCTCTTTCCACAGATCTTGTGCCTGCTTCCTTCCTGTTATTAGTTAAGGGGCATGTGTGCCCACCTCACATGGTATCAGACTAGAGCGCCAAGGAATGAATTTGCAACCTAGAACAGGCAGATTCTTGGTATCCTCTCACCCCTCTGGCTTGGTAGGTTTCTGCTTATATTTCTGTTGTTGGCAACGTTAGCAAGATATGACTACATTTATCTGACCTTATAATATTCACTTTGAAAACATTCAGTGCCCTGTGTCTCCAGACACCCGCTTGGGTCTTTACTGAGCAGGAAGTTAGGCTTGTGTTTCGGAAGAGGGACAGAATCTCACACAGAATTGTTCCAGGCTAGGATAAAAGGCTTCACAGTCCCCAGGTGTCTCAATTGTGTGGTTTCTAGGATAAGAAAATAGGGTGTTGCATGTTAGAGGTGGAGAATGTGTTTTTGATGGCCTTCCTGTTTTCTTGTCCCAGTTGAATTTGCATCTGAGCCTTGGTGGTTGGGAGTCCCAGGATTTCAGAGAGGGGTGGCTCAGAGGAGATTGCATCCTGGTCCCAAGCCCCTTATCTCATGGCAGGGATCATATTAACTAGGTATGGCTTGTAGATGCTAATTCTGACTGGGGTGGCAGACAAGCAAAAGACCAGAGCTTCCTTTTTTCCTGCTGGAACCATGGAAGGTGCCGAAGAGAAGAAAAGGAAGGTTCCTGCTGGGCCAGAAACTCTTAAGAAAAAGCAAAGGCATTATGCAGAGCTGAAGGTAAAGCGCCTGAGGAAGAAGTTTGCCCAAGAGATGCTTCAAAAGGCAAGGAGGAAGCTAATGTATGTAAAAGCCAAGCATTACCACAAGGAATACAGGCAAAAGCACACAACAGAGATCCGGATGGCTAGAATGGCAAGAAAAGCCAGCAACTTCTATGTACCTGCAGAACCCAAATTGGCATTTGTTGTCAGGATCAGAGGTATCAATGGTGTGAGCCCAAAGGTTCGCCTTTGCCAGATCTTCAATGGCACCTTCGTTAAGCTCAACAAGGCTTCAATTAACATGCTGAGGATCGTGGAACCTTACATTGCATGGGGGTACCCAAATCTGAAATCAGTGAATGAACTAATAATCTACAAGCGTGGATATGGCAAAATCAATAAGAAACGAATTGCCTTGACAGATAACGCTTTGATTGCT